TATTATTTTTCTTTCTTTGTAGAAAAACAATTAAACTGTAAGAGATAAACTCCATTATATCTGATATGTTACAATAAATACTACATCTCGTTATTGTCGTATGATATTTCCAAGTGTTGATATTAGATGACGAAATTGAGTTTCCACCGTACGTCAGATGAATACATAAAATTTCCTTTCAATAGATTTTCCGATACTATGCATTTAAAGGTTTACTTTATTTATAAAGTTGTAAATGATTAATCGAGTGTAATACGATCCCGATAAAGAAATTCCACTTTCCTTTGTATGTATAGAAAATTATCTCGTCGAGCTGTGAGAAAGACAAAGGATAGATAATTATATATTTTTTTCTAACTAAGATACTTTTCAATACTATTCCCTTCTACTATTTCATTGTTCTAATTGACTCTATTGTCTTGGAAATATCGATTACTGACATTTAATAATCAATAAATTATGATAGTATACCAAAATCGATAATTGATTTATTATTTGACTCTAATTAACAGGATCGAACACAAAAGTAATGCAATTTATTAGATTTGGTATTGTTAAACGGATAAAAAAGACAATGAAAATTAGAATCTTCGTTTTGTTTTTGTAGCATCTCAAAGAATACATTGCTCTTTTTCACGACAAACACAAATGCTTGGTCGTGCACATAAACGACCCTATAAATCATATGAAGTTGGATGTAACAACATTGAAATTAATGCTTTTTACAGTTAATTGGATAGAATGTGCACTAAGGCTGGCCAAACTCGTTGAATAGCGAGCACCTTAATTACGCGAATTCAATTCCACCGATCACACATACCGACACGCTTCCGTCGAACGGGACAAACCTATATGACGCACCATAATTCCGCTTACCATCGCTGTATCTCACGGTAGCTCCCACACATCTATCAATAAATTGCTGCAGGAAGATGAGAGAAACGTATAGGGCCACGTTCGGCAATGAATTTTAGCTGGCGGCTTCTCTGTTCAAACATTAAAAGCATCCATCATTCCAATTCCATCACGGCGTTTACATTTGTATACCTACGATTCTTTTCCCTTCGTCACGCCCAAAGCTTTACTGAATTTTCTTTTACGTAGAAAAGATTTTCATAAGATTTTTATATGTCTCTTGACATATTAAATTTATGCCCGGTGGATTGCGATACATGCATACTTTGTGAAAACGTTGTGTAAGTATTATTTTAAAAAATATTGTGAGTTATGTTATCGATAAAATTAAAAATATATGCGAATAATTTTTATAAAAGAAATTGAAGATATAAAATTTTCAATCTTACTGATCGAGATTTATTATTCCATACTATTAAATATGTTTTCAGTTAAACATTGAAGGTTTCCAAAGGCATTGGAATAAAAACTATTTAAGGTACGATTTTGAATAGATAATTTCATTTTGCATTAATATATTGAACGGAGGAGGAAGAGGGTGGGAGTTGATATTTTTGCGAACTTTTATGTTACAAGAGGCTTTAAAAAATTCTTATAATGAAAATGAATAAAGACACGTGTCAATGTGCAGTACTCGTGAAAATTGTCCCTACTTCCATACAATATTTTATTTCGATATCCACTAATGATTTATGCATACAAGTTTACAAATATTAATCTCTACCAGGTCAATGGAAAAAAAAAATTGAAATTTCTCAAGTTCAGAAAAGCAAAGAGTAAAACAAATAGTGATATGCACGGATGACTATACGGAAACGAAATGTCTTTGTATTGCTCATAAATCAAAATGTATAAAATCAAGGCTTGAGCACGTCATTACTTGACAATATAAATAAGCAGTGAATATATTATGAACTTGAAATTCAAAATATCAAGTATGATTCGATAAACAAGTAGACATACTTATTATTAATTTTGTAATGTTATTACACAAAACCGCACGTATGCTAGATTTAATGTATGCTAATGTGAATTTACAAGACTCAAAGAATTTTTGCCCGCGCATTAGGGATCTTGGTATTTGCATATTACACAGTCTTGTTATAAATAATAATGATGAAAGGAAATGAAACCAAGAAGGAGACGAAACACATTTGGTTATGAGATAGTGCATTTACGATGATTTAGACATCAAGGTGAGAGCCTAATATCGCTGACAATGTCGATTGTCATTCCCCAGCAATTTCATCGCTATAAAATCTCACGCTAAACACAATACTAACAAGCCTCCTCCCACTCGTAATCGACTTCGGTAATTCCGTTATGCCAGTGCTCTTGTAGCGTCGAGCTTTGTAATGGAAATTCATAATAGCCAGGGAGAAGCACTTTGCACGTGTTGCATACAGGAAAGCGCGCATTGAGCCTTGTAGTTAAGTACCATCGATACGTGCATTATTTTTGCTGGCTGAGTAGCGTTTATCGAACTCGTGAAAATCACCTCGTGCCTCTTCAGCTTTCTTCATCTCCCTCTGATCGCGAACTTCATTACCCCAAGAGAGACAGACGTATAGAGAGAGAGAGAGAGAGAGAGAGAGAGAGAGAGAGAAAAGGGACGCGTGGGAAACGTATATTTCCTCAAACTCAAGCTCGAGTATGTCGATACGATGCATAAAAACTCGGCTAGATTTGGACGATTCGTACCTCTTAAAAACACTCGCGTATGAAAATGTGACTGCGAAAGAAAGGTCGTCGAAAGAGAGGACAAAGGTGTTGTCTGAAAATCTTAGCCGTCGATATGTAATTGGCCATTACCAATGCATTGTATCGGCATTAGTTTAACAAAATCCGGCAAACTAATGGAATTTGAGTCGGTTGACTTCGACAGACGGGATCAAAAAGTACTGCCCTCGCGCACCAAAATCGTGCACTGGCCTTCTGAAAATGGAAATCGAGCCGAAGCGGGGGTCGGCACAATGGAAGCCGGCTACAGCAGCTCGGCTCCCTCTTACGATCTCGGCCTAGGCGTGGGCTAAGATAACTCGTTTGACCGACAATGCCGACGGTGTTGCATCAGTCCAACGCAGAGAAGGGCGTTTTCGTGGATCGGGACGCAAGCTCGCGCGAGGGCGGCTGCTGAATCGCGTCGCGCACACACCAACGACCGAAATTAAACGGGTCGATTGTCGGCGAATTTTTCGACAACGGCGCTTGCACAACGCCAATGCTTTTACGTAGATTTCGCCCATTCCATTACCAGCAATCTGCGTTTAGCTCGTGCAATTACCAGTGCCTTGCGCGGGGTACTTCGACTCTCTAATTAACACGGGCACACCCGCACACTTACGTATGTAAAATCATGATAAAATGTTGTGAAGCTGATACACATGGGAAAAAATGTAGTGCAATTTAGGAACTGGTAGCCCAATAGAATTCTACATTTCCAGCGCTTATTATATATTCTAAGAAAATGTACTTTTACACGATCAAACAGCAAAGAACTCTTGTCTCTATCAGTATGCACGTAATCGAGTTTGTATTAAATTGATTAAAAAGAAAAAAAATTAGTTGAAAGTTAAGTTTTCTATTTGATTCTTTGTATAAAAGGCATCTTATTTATATACAGTAGAAGAACCTTTAGGGTCTGTTATGTTTTACATAACTAGCATACGGTTTATAAAATCCGCCGCAGGGATAAAATTTCTTTTCATTATAACATTATATGGTACATAAATATTTTTCGTATACGTTAGCAAATGTTTTTTTGCTAACAGTGTCTTTTACTAAAGAATATAAGATCTAATCGCTGATGAATATTTATTGCTAATTAGTAAGTAATAAAATATATGTTCTAATGTCTTGGAATTTAAAAATGCCATTACATGCAGCCGATTTTTAATAAATAATCTCTCTGTTCATAACAACGATATGATAAGAATATCATTTACATTATGTAATTACCCCATAAATTTATAAACTGTATACTAATAATTCTTGTTATAAATATCCTTATATAATATGGCAAAAATTTGTTATTTATAATACACGTGATTGCACTTCACAAGTTGTCATAAAATTATTACTTAATTCAAAATTTTTTTCCCTGTTTTGTTTAGTTTCTATTATATTGTCGCCTCTTTAAAGTCCGAAAACTTGGTCATTTATAACTGATGTTGAATTTTTTCAATTTTTTAAACCATTTTACAAATCCTTCATAAAATGTTGTTCAATCTTATATAAAAAGTAATGTTTTATTACCTTACATATTATTACAATTATATCATATGTTTTATTTGATAAGAATAGTTATTAATTTCTCTCTTTTTTTTTGGCCATTTTTATGAACAAACGAGATTTATATGTCCAACGAATTTGATGTTAAAATTAAAATATTTAATGATGAGTTTGGGTTGGAAATGAAATTCCTTTCCGTTCTTTAAAAACAAACCTAAGCTTTTAAATTAATGCATTGATTTTCATAAAAGAATATAAATTACAATATATTGAACATTTATATCGATAATGCGATAAATAAAGGTTGTTATAATGATAAGTCTTTGATAAATCTACGTGGAAAAAATTCTAGAAACGGCTTTCTATATGCTAGGAATTTTTTTCCCAATACGCCCGAGGTTTTTTTCCTCATCTTATTTTGCTCATAAACTTAATATTGGATAGTTTATCCTTGTCGCTAAGTTCAATCACAGGCAGCATGTATACTTTAATCGACAAGTTGAAATCCCACCTACCGAACACAGGAAAGCTCCAGTGTCGGTGGAAAAAATAGTTCCAGTGGCGCGAACGAGTGCAGGCGTCGACAAGTAAGCGAGCGAATTTGCTGACAAAGAAGCAGGGGGAAGGTGTAGCAGCATTGCCGGCTAATCACAGAAAGAGAGAGCTCGTGCCCCGCCCAAGGGTTGTCATGCCAAGCAAAGGTCGTGCGTGTGCCGAGGTACCAAGGTGGAGGGAAAAAAAACGGAAAGCCGGTCTAGACGGGGCCCGTTATAAAAGCTGGACTCCCGACTTCACGAACCATCACACCGGCTCGATCCAATAATCCTGCGACAACTCGATATCCTTTCGAACGACCTTCCACTCATCATGCAGTCCTTCGTAGCAACGATCTTCCTCGCAGCTCTCTCCGTCGCCTCGGCAGCGCCCTCCGGTCTCTATGCCCATGGCGCAGCCCTGGCCGGCCCGATAACCGGGCCCAACAGCCTTGTCGGCCCAGCCAACGGACCATCCGCCCTGGCCGGACCCGTTGTCGGTCCTGCCCGCATCTCCGGTGCCGTGGACCTCGGCGCTCTCGTCACCGGAGCCGTAGCCGGACCCTCTTCCGTTCAAGGTAGCGTGAGCGCTGGCACTGCCATCCTCGGCGCTTACGGACCCGGACTCCCAGCTCCAGGATACCTCGCAGGACCCGGCTACCTTGGTCTCGGTTAGTATTCGATGCCTCGTACTTCAATTAGCAAGATTATTTTTCATTGCCTCATACCAATCAACATACAATCTTGCAAATAAATAATCATCAATAAGCTTGAGAGTAATGCCGTGAGAAATTATCGACTTATTATCAATATTTCTATTAAAATGCCTTCCAAACCACTTGATTTTTAAATATTACTTATAATATGATACGGGCCTTGCACTCATCTTTGTGACAATAAGTTTATCCTATTGTGACATACCTGCGCAAAATACGTATATTTATATGTATTCTCTCGGGTCCACGGGCATGTTCAACAATTTATGGACATTATTCTACGTTATAAATACATTGAATTCATTCGTAATAGAGGAAATTCTGATATATGATGCAATAAACGTCTTGTTTACGACTTTTATCTAATATAAAGCCTAAAGTATTTCATAATATTAAACCAATCCATTACATAAGGACTTTCAATAAAATAATCGATTTCTTAATATACATTGATTTGATCGTATCATATCAATATTACTTATTCCAATATAAATAAGAATTACATAAAAAGTTTCTTATCGACACTCAGGTTGCATGCTACGATTTTATAAAATAATACAAGTTTGTAAAGAAAACAAAATAATGTGGCCGATAATCCAATCGACTATCAATGACAGTCGGCTTTTATAAAGCAACTAAATGAAACCAACGGTAAAGCCGTAATTCTATAACTTGAATCGATCGAATGTACAGGTCATGGTGCGATCCTTGCCGGTCCCATCGCCGGACCCACCCACCTAGCTGGACCCATCGCCCCGGGTGCCTTCATCGCCGGCCCATCGGGCTACATCAACGCTGGTCACGGGCCCTTCTACTAAACCGGGACTTCCAGCTGACAAAGGTTTAGATATCGTGACGACTGCATGCTTCACAACTCCACACATTAGACGAATGCATAAACAGTGACAATACGATAAAAGCACCACCTCGAAGTCATTCAGAGGGGGCCCAAAGACCCGCAAGGCCCGAGAATCACGATCCCAGAGCAGCTAGCCACGATCTCCACCACTTATGACCGCTATAGTACCTCCCGCCGATAATTACTCGTTTATTTGTACAAATATATATTGAAGAAAGCGTAAAAAAAACAAAGAAAGAATGAAATAAAAGTATGACTTTAGCCCCTTATTTACATGTATTATTTTTTTTTACATACAATAAATAGTGCATTACCTTCAATTGATATTCGTGGATGTGATTTATTACACTGTGATTCCTGTCATCGAAATGTTTCGATAATCGTGAAAATTAGCATCCTTAAATCGTAAAATCATAAGATTTATAATAAAAAAAAAAAATTCGTCTACTAATTACAAAATTTTTAATAAAAACATAATTTTACTATCTATATATTAAAAATATAGTCTAATTAGTATGCAGAATTACGAGGTCTAATAATCCTTGTGTATCTAAGAGGAGAAGAAAAAAAAGATGGAAAGGGTAGAACTAGTATTTACGATGAATTATGATAAAAAAAAAAAAAAAAAAAACAAAAACAAAAAAATATATTGAATTATACAATTTGCTAAAGAATTAAGGGAGAAGGTAACGAGCCGATAAATATAAATGCTCATTTACAAAGTCAACCTGCAATAAAATTCCTGTGGTGCAAAACAGATAACACTCTCTTTCCAATAAAAATGCGCGTTAATAGCGCGACTTATAATTCAGTCACTCTAACATTTATCTTACTCTTAAGTGTTATCTACCTATAGAGATAAAAAATGTAAATTAATCTACACGCTGAAAAGCATAAAGCTAAAAAATCTCTTCATTTTTCCATAGTTTCGCAATAAGCATCGCGAGGGAAAATCTAGTATTCTAGATACATTGTATCGCAACAACATTTAATGCTTCAAATAAAATTTAAAGTGCTATTTGCTGTTCGACTTATTTTCTCTTATTTATGGGTCAGTCTTGATATCGCGGACAACTTCCACGTATGCTTACCACTTTAAATACAAACCGTTACATTTCGCATACATACATCAGGCATTGACAAGGCCTTTCGCGGTAACCGCGGAGGAAGCCGTTTCCCGCCTTTGTAATCCCCAGACGAATTGTATGAACGATAACCGAGGGGATCCCCCGGCGAGTACCGTTTCTCTGACGCTGGTAATTAATTGAAATTACCTACCTTCTTTCAACCCCATTAGTCGAGCATTCATTTTAAACGATGAATTTTTTTATCATTAACGACAATTGCACCGAGTAATCTTTTCATTTAAATAGTCTACGAAGACAAAAATATACAATACCAGATATACTCGAAGTCACGCAGTTAATGGTATAAAAATTAATTATTTCAAAATATAATTAATTCTATAATAATGTAATAAATTTCTATAATATAATAATGAAGGGATGATTAGTTAAAAGTTAAAAAATTTATAGCTCTAATTAACGATATTCTCATTTAGCATATATTTTTTCAAAATTGAAAAACTAGAAAACTGTGATGATGAATTGTAAATTTTTTAACAATAAATTAATGTATTTATTATAAAAAGTCGGAAATTTTTTAATAAAAATATCTAAGCAATCGAACATATTATTTAAATGACAATAATTCATCAACCTCGATAAAATTTTCGAACACTTCATCGATCACACAATTCATATTTAATAAAAAAAATCTCATTAAAAATATCTATGTGTACAAAATATTTCTCATTCTACATATAAAATACAGAATGAAAGAGTATTTTCATTGAAATGATAATAACATGGCTTTCAGAATGAGGGTAACTTTACAAATTTTTATTATAAGCTACATTTACATTGGCAAATTTTAATTTAAGGTCGTGTATGTAGTCAGCAGAATGATAAAAAACTTTTTGGAACATTTTTAACCACGTTTTTTCATTATAAATGCATAGAGATTCAATAAATTCTGACATCCTTTACAAGAAAATGATAAAATATAAATGAATTAAATTTATTCTGTCGGTACCAATTATTATAAAAGTTCTCAATGATTACTAACGTAGATATTTAGATCGAAATATCTTAAAATAATTTTCAAATGATTTATTATATTCATTTATTTAAGCTGACTAAACGTAAGAACCAAATTACACCCTATAAAGTCATACTCTCAAAAAATTTCTTAAAAATATTACGATGTGTCTATTAAAAAAATTCACTTTAAATTTTCTTATAATAATCAATCGACTAAGCTGCTTGAATTAATATTAAGTGAAATTACAATAATTTAAGAATTATACACTAAAAATTCTAATGTACTTTGAACGCTGACTAAATATAAGATTAATCTGTATATTTGTAATTAAAAGAAAATAACGTTACTTATGATTCGCAAGCAGATAATGCAAAAACGTATAAAATAATTTATTACAGGTAGCACGCAAGATATACATTTTAATGTAATGAATTTAATAATTGAGTTTTCTAACATTATATTATTTAATAATGTAAATTATTAGTATATAAACCAATATTAAAAAAGAGAAATATATTTTTTAATAATAATAATACATAAATTTAATGTGGAGTTTAATTGAAATTTATTAATTCTTTAATACTCTCTTTTTTGTATTAATTCATCATATACCTCATTATTTAATTAATTGAAAAACATAATAATATATTGACATTACAAATTTATTATTTGTCAAATTGGAAAAATTCTTTGAGAAAGTAAGAATAAAATTATAATTTTTTTAATATTGTTATTGAATATTATTTTAGTTATCATTAAACTGAAATTTTCTATTAATCAAAATAATATTAAGAACAACTTAAAAAGTCATCAAATGAAATTTCAATTTTTAAAATATATTATTATGATAATAATTTATTCATACATAAAGTTGAAGCAATACTTTTCAGTATTTTAATCCATCAAATAAAATATTAATAAAAACCAAAGAAAAAAATATTGAGTAACCAATTTCTTACATATTTAATGGCAATTTTTTACAATTAGCTAGTTATTAAATGCAGCGTAAAAAATAATTTGCTCATTTATCTGAACTTGTATTCTTATACGTCAATTTTTAATCATTTACACTCTTCATGGAAAATATATTTACTTGAGAAGTTGCAGTATTAAAATACCTTAGGGGTATTTTAATTATACTTTCGTTCTATTTCAATGTCTACAAAACGTTATCCAGTGTTCATTATAGATTCATTTATAATAGCATGATAATATTGTAGTTTATCTCAGTCAAATATTTATCTACTCAATTTTATTACATGACAATAAATATGTGAGATAAATGAGTTAAAACATTCGAAATAGCAGTATGGATGATAACAGAGTGAGAGTGATAGAGTGAGGAGAAGATGGCGAATGGGGGGGGGGAGATAGAGACACAGACAGACAGACAGACAGAGACCAGGATGATTGAATAATACTTTGTGTTTCTAAACCCGTTTCCTTTATATTTCTATGAATAATCGACAGAGCTTAGACAAGACATTTAATCTATCAAAGATTGAATTTCTATGTAATGTACATCCTGCATATAGAAGTTTCCCCGTTTACCTTTCTTTCTTTTCATTTCAACGTTTTCCTAAAATTTTATTAAAAATTTTTTCTTAATTTTTATTCATTTATATCTGAAGATGTAAAGTTCATTAAAGCAAGTTTCACTGTAGGACTTATAGCGATTTTTTCTCGATTTGAAATGAAAACTTTAAAGTGAGTTCTTAGCCTTAAGCATGTCACTTTAATTGAAACCATGAAGAATACAATTAGTTGAAATGAATAAAATAATTCTGACTTTGAAAATGAAATTAAAATGTTATAAAAATAGATTTATCACAAATTAAAATTTATGCATTATAAAAATTATGTATTCTAAAGTTTCATATTATATATTTATCATATATATATTTATATTAATATGTAAATAAAATTCAGTTGACTCATTTCGAGACTTATTCATAAGCATTAATAATTTTGAGAGAAAAAAATTGAATTAAAGTTTGTCAGCTATATATAAATTAAATTTAAGTATTACTCATAAATAAATATAACATTTACTATGTAAATTATGATCTAAAATGCATCTTGGGATGAATATATTATTTATTATACTCTTTTGCGATAGAAAATATTATTCGACTTATTAGGAAGTAAGAGTATAGGAGCGACACCGAATTGGATAATTCTAAATATACGTTAAATTAAATGGTTTCATTGATTAAAATTTCATAATACATCGAGAATGCATATTATTATAATTTACGTTCCGTATATTAATGCGTATAATATGAAATACAATTGTCAAATCTAGAAATGGTCTGTATTCATTAAATTTGAAACACATTTAAAAATATCCATTAGGAGCATTATATCAACTGCCGTGTAGTGGTAATCAATTATATTATTTTCATTGTGTTGACTTATGCTCTATCAATATGTGTACTTGATATACAAGAGCGTAAACCATTAGTTCAAAGTAATGGGCCAAACTGTCTATTAAAATAATATACGCGTATGCATATTAAACAGAAGCGTCGTAGCTATAAACATGTAAAGCTGACTTTATGCTGATTATGAGAACATCAACCCTTTGAAATTTCGATTTCGATGAGACACTAGAGACTGTCTTCTCATACTAAATAATGAAGCTTATGACTCATAATCCATTGTAGTAGACCTTAATTACGATTTAAGCGAAATGTATGAAACATTGAATAATAACATTCCAGAATGCATAACTCAGTAATTCAATATTCTTAATTACATCATGTTGTTTAAAAAGAAAATATATATGTATATACATATGTATGCATATAGATAGATCGTTAATAAAAATTAAATGTTTAATAAATAAATACTAAATAAATACTTATAATTATTAATAATGAAACAAAGAACCAATCATTACTATATTTGTATAAAGTCATATGTTTCAATATTGTTATCTATAATATTGTTTATAGTATTTAAACATTTATATGTAATTCATAAAGTTATAATTTAATTCGACATCCACGATATGGCTATATTATATTCATTGCTTTAATTTAAAATTCTACATCTTCAATTAGCCTAATATTCAATAAATGAAATTTGAAACGATAGCTTAAAAATGTTAAGGCGATGGCGATGAAATCGAATGTGATTCGAGAATTTACAAAGTCATCCTTTGCTTAGCAACGTCAGTTAAACTTCATTAATATAGCCTAATACACAATGCAGAAAATTTGAGTAACTCATGATACTTTCCTCATCAAAGTTCATTTTATTATTGTCAAGTTATTAACGGAATATGACGATATAACATTGCAAGGTTACGTCAATTATTATTCTACTAGGATACGCCCATCAATGTTCCCCTAAGCTAACCGAGCTATAAATGACCGTGCGTGGGTCTGATCTTACAAAGTCAACTTTAATAAAGTCTGGAAGGACAAGCGATTCAAATGGGCATCCCGAACTCTGCATTTCTTTCTTGTAGAACTCGTAATAGTTTTTCTCAAGCTATCGCAAATACGTGCTGCACGAAAAAAGAAAATGTCATAGACCAACATCTATTTTATGTTGCAGTGAAACTATTAATATGAAATTGCATCCGCTGAATTATAAGCTTAGCCTGTTCTCTTGGCTGTAGGCGTAAAGAATAGCCACGCATCTTCGAATTGATTATTAGAAACAAACCATCTTCGTGGCCATCTATGCGTCAGATTGAATGAGGCGTGGTAAAGATATTTTCTCGGGGGTCATATGCTTGACAAATGTATAAAAAGATTAACTTTGCATACAGAATGATCAGTCTTCAAGTGATCAGTCGACAATAATGTACGGCTAACGAAATATTTATTAACGACTAAATTTCTTCCATAATATGAGAATGAATATGTATTTCTTGGTAAGGAACGATTACAAATATCACTCGTTTCCAAAATGTTCACCTGATATATGTGATAAAGTTGCAAGTTTGGTGATGATTTTTATAAATTCGACTGTGTGATTATGGAAGATCGTTTAAATAATAGTGCTTTGAAGATTATGCTGATTTATTGCATCAAAGAAGATTAAATAAATTTCATTGTTAATTGTTATCGATAATCAATCAGATATAATATGTGTTTTATTCAATACAGAAGATCTATTGGTTAATATCGTTACCAGGAGTCATGAAATTTCAATCGTTTATTTGAATCATAAATAATGGTTGCATTTTAATATTAATACCATTATTATTTAATCTTGTTTAAATATAATGGGATACATTGAGAATACAATTATGCTAATGAAATTGTTAATCGTGAATAATTTGATATTACAGAATCATTGCTTCCTTAAATTTAATTACATTAACTATCCGTGTATTGTTTTATAATATTGTTATAAAAAAGAAAAAAATTGATAAATTACATTAAATTCTTGTACAATCAGAATTTTTTTGACAAATTTCGAAAATCTTGTAAAAAGAAGAAAGTAAAATTCTTAATAATAATATTGCATATGATGGGTAATTTTATGAGCAATTAACTAATCTCAAAACAATTCAATTCTCAACATCATTAATATTATTCTGAATATTCATATACCAAAAATAACTCAAAAATAAATAATAGAAAAAATAAAACAAATACGAAAAAAGATAGGTATTAAAAATGTAGATAATATAATTAATTCCTTTATTCTTCAAGCGTACAAAAAAAAATGTGCCCGGCACCATAATTACAGCATAGGCAAACGCTAAAGAAGCGTTTGGCAGCGGATAAACTACTTCCGCGCGACCTCCACTGATCAAAGAGTGAGAAAATGCAATTCTCCAACAATTAACAAATAAAAACTGAAAACAAATTGAGCCCGATGACTCCAACGTAGAATTACAGAAATAGCGGTGTGTGGGCGTCGGATCGCGCTCGTATTCGCCTCGCGAGTGGAAGCATTCGCGACACGTCCTGGTGTAACCGAGTTATGCAAATATACTGACGCGTCTATATACGTTCTCATTGGAAGTGACACGCGCGACGTACACGGGCTCTCCATTATTACCGAAATCATCGTCAAGGGTTGACTGGTAGTCCGCGTCTCTCTCTCTCTCTCTCTCTCTCTCTCTCTCTCTCTGCGATTCACGATCTACTTTACGGCGAAAGCTCCCCCGTAAATGACGCTTTACGGGGCGTTTGTTAGAAAAAAGCTTGAAGCACGTCTGAAGTGCGCCTCTTAATGTCTGTCGGGTTATTAGTAGCTAACTTCATTAATTTCATTCAAGGGTTCAAGTTCGTAACAAAATCACACACATCCGCGAACGCTGGGGCGTGAACATTTGCAGATGTGTGCACTCTACATCGCACATGGATATAGAGAATTGTCGTATAAAGATTTTGATGTCTAGACAGAAATATAAGAGCCTGGATTTATAAAATATTATAATAAATATATTACGTTTTTTTTTTGTATTTTTTTTTTGTTTTTTGTGTTTTTTGTTTGTTTTTTGTTTTTATGAGAAGTAAGAGAAACGCGCAATATCATTAGCTGCTAATAAAATTCTTTTTAACTCCTCGTCATTCTATAAAATTATCGATTTATATACTCTGCTGTACTTACTCTTTATACCGAAGCATAGATTTATATTGAACTTGATCGTTTACGTGCCTGTAATTAAAAAAAAAAAAAAAAAAAAAAAAAACCCCATACGCGTAAATTTCAACTAGGATAAAACACAACAACCTATTTCAATTTAATATATTTCCCCCTTAATAGGCTGATTAAGAAGAAGAGTAAGGGAATTTACAACCTAAAAGGATAAAGCGTATAAATTAATGAGAGCTCAGGAATGAATATGCAGATATTTTAATTTTATAACCTTCTTGCGATTATTCTGCGCTTCTTAAGCGAATTATCCACTAAGAGTGTAGTCTTGGAAAAAGCGAATAAATAACTACACTCACCCTCGCACACTTGCGTATTTCGACTCAATAACGATAAATCGCTTATAGCTACGCAACGTGCGCATACGTCATGCAGGGCAGAACTAATTACGGAATAGTAACAGAAATATGGGCTACCGGTTTGCCAGCCTCAAGCAACGAATCGCATTATGTAAAAAGAAAAGCGACAAGTGTAGATTGAGATAAGAGAGATTGAGCTACGCATAATCAGTAATGAATGAGTAAATATCTATCACGAATCGTAGTTGGCGGTGTCGAGTGCTCTTCTAGTGGGGTCGGTCCAAGCCAGCATCTGGCCTTATCACGGATCAGCGAGTTCGTCGGCGACGGCAACAAGTGCCGTGTATCACGATTACGACTGGCAGCCGCCAAGATTGAAATCAGATCATTGGACCTATGGGCAAAGCAGTAATCGTGGCATCGCGGGAAGTTCCGTCGGACCTCATCCGATTTTCCTTAAAGGCCACAACGACGCCTCGATCAGAGGTTTTTAAACCCGTTCTTATTTGACATGCAGTAGCTCATTACCGATATATCGATACAGCTCAACGTGCTCCTGCTCCCACCCCTCTCCCCTTCCGCCCTCCCTTCTAATTACTTAATTTTTCAAGCTGCTGATCTATATCTCAAATTTAATCCATTATTCATGGTACACGATGCATAGAGCTCAAAACAAGCTGAATGACAGTGAGATCGATGAATAGTTATTGTTGGTAGGAGTTATTTAATGACTCATTCAATTAAGCACGATATTATAAGTAATGATATAATTAATCTACATAATAGAGAAGTAATTGATATTAAATTTCTAAATTTATTGTGTCTAACAATATGTAATAATTTTCTAGAGGCACTGATGTATTTAAAAAATCTTTAAGTTTTTTCCTCACTTTATTGTTCTGCTATTGCAGTGAAATTAAGTTCGTTTATTTATATTATAAATCAATAAAATTATAATACATTGATATATGATGTAATATTAGAGTATTACCGTTATCCCATGTCATATGATAATACTTTCGTGTTAATCTTAAAATGAATAACAAAGCTATTGGCAACATAAAATTTTATTACTATTAGTTTAATTTAATAACTATTATCAATGAGATTTTATAATCAATAATTTATCATCGAGTCCTATATACGAGAGTAATTTCTATGTATACGAAAAATGATCGTTTTATAAGAAAAATTCATTTTTTTTCCTTTATATTTGCATTAGCACCAACACAAAGGCCAATAGTGCTACAAGGACCACAAGAAGGGCCCATTCGTGCCATCGGGCCTACGGATGGGCACATACATATCACAGGATCCAAAGAAGGGCCTGTACAGATTATAGGACCCACAGAAGGGCCTGTACAGGTCATCGGGCCGACGGAAGGGCACGTACACGTTATCGGACCCTCGGAAGGCCCGGTACGCGTTATCGGTCCAACCGAAGGATCCATAGAAGTCGTGGGACCAACCAAAGGATCCATACAGATCGTAGGTCCTACAGAAGGACCAGTAAAGATCATCGGTCCCTCCGAAGGATCAGTTAAGATCATCGGTCCCTCCAAAGGATCAGTTAAGATCATCGGCCCTTCCGCTGGAGCAATTCACATTGATGGTAGTTCTACGTCTAGCGGAGGATCCATCATCACAGCTCCATCGGGAGGGGCATCCATCATCGGTCCGTCAAGTCATGGAGCTTCTATCATCGGTCCGTCGAGCCATGGAGCTTCTATCATCGGTCCGTCAAGCCATGGAGCTTCTATTATCGGTCCGTCAAGCCATGGAGCTTCTATTATCGGTCCGTCGACCCATGGAACTTCAATTGTTGGACCTTCCTCTGCAGGAGTAACCATTGTCGGACCGTCCGCCGGAGCTGCGACCATCGTCGGACCATCCGCCGGAGCTGCGAGTATTATTGGACCGTCCACTGGAGCTGGGACCATCGTAGGTCCGACGACAGGCGAAGCGACTATCGTTGGCCCACGTACAGGTGGCGTTACAATAATTGGACCATCAACGACAACACCCATTATCAACCACCCAATTGTTCATCATAACTCTGTCTTTGATGCACACGCAATCGCGAAAGCCTACGCCTATGCAGACGCCCAAGCCCATAACTTCGATTCACCACCTATACATGACCCACATAGATACGTCCCACATCATTATGTCAAAGGTAATTCCTAAAATAATAATAATTATAATAATTATTATAATAAAATTTCAGCTTGACATATTGATATAAACATTTACATACCGATTAGTATTCTATTTGTATTTGAAAGTGATTTTCACTCGTTATCGTTTTAATAATTTGATAATTAATTAATTATATGACATCGATTTGCCTATGACAGTTTCTTACAAGTTCCATCAGCATCCATAATAAATTTAGAGTATTAAAAGCGAAGAAATATTTCTTTCAAATTATTAAAAATTTACCTCCTGCAAAAAAATATCATTCAATTATATTACTAAGCAAGATTTTATTCACAATTAATTATAAATGACCGTTAACGATTAATCAATGATTTATTACTTTACATAAGCGATCATATATGAGTAATTTACAAATTATTCACAAATACATTTAGCGAGATCAATTTTATTAACAAAACTCGTTTATTTCGACGGTCGCTCAATTTGTTATCGATAATATTATGCTGCTAAATCACATTACAAAATGAAATTATTGTGTAACAGTAAAGTCTGATTTGTTTGGACACAATTAAATAATCGTTTCTTCTTTTCTATTTATTTAATTCCTGTACATATCTTACATATCAGCAATAAGTGATAATTTTAGTAAACCATAGCTAATGAAATACACGAATGAATATACAAGGACAATATACTCCTTGTGTTTAAAATTATATGTACGAATGATAATAACAAAACAGCAATACGATCAGATAAAGCAGCCACTCGATTGGTATTCGATCACTCTCAAATATATTTTATTATTCGAAGACATTTAAATTTCTGACAATTTATCAACATTCAAACACAAGTTCAAAATGTAAAAAAAAATGTCAAAAGTAAGCGGTATAAATTTAAAATAACATAGAATTGAAGTACCTGTAGAAATTAAAATCTAACATCGTCTGAAATTTAAAACTCAATTATTCTCACTCGGTTATTATTATGGTATATGACAATAAACAATTAAGCTTGAAATATTAAAATTCTTTTGTCAGTATCTTATCAACAATGCCAGTATCTTTAAACTTATTATCTTTAAAATTTCATTAACAATATATGTTAAATTAATTAAAACTTACATGAATTTTAATTATGCAAGAAAAAAATGCGGAAAGAATTATATATTTTTCTTTAATAAATAAATTAAGTTTTAGATGAAGGAACGTTTATCTGCAATTCTGATTTACTTAATTATTAATTCTGAATTAGTAAATTACGTAATTATTGTATACATTATATATTATTTTAGCAATTGAAGAAAAGCAATTTAGAAATCATTACAATTTTAATATAGAAAAAAGATTAATATTATTAAAATTGTAGTTCAAATTAATATTATTTTCAGTAATCTGATATATTTAATAATATCTACATTAATTTTCAACTATAATCATCCTTAATTTATTATTTTGTTCATATTTTGTTTGTTTTATTTTTAAATTGTTGCTTCATTAAATTTAACTCTTTTTTTAAAAACAAATCTTTTTCCATTAATTTTAGTATTCTGTAATTTTTCTTATCACTGCTGTATTTTCATTTAAAATGATCTATTGAATCAAATTTCACTTAATTACATTTTTTTTAATTACATTAATCGATTGTACATATTATTTTTTTTAGAATTAGTTTGATATGTAAACACGTATTTTAAATTTTTGTATTTAAATTCAGATATTTAATTATCGATTTTTTACTCCTTGAAAATAAATTCGATTTAATTTTTGATGATAGTTGAACATGTACAGTAAAATATTTGTCCTCTAATAATATTTTCATTATACGTTATAATAATAAAAAAAATTTTCTGGCTTTTTTATGTTGAATTTTGCATAAAAATGAAACAATATTGTATTATTTTTGCGATAAAACACTACATGCAAATTCTCAGTAGCTGACAACTTGTATCAATATTTATTTGTTTGTTTTTAGCTAAATGATTGTTAATATTGAAAATATAGATGTGGCAGCTCTGTGAAGCAATTTTCATTGATAGTATTTTGCAAATTGTCCTCTTAAAATTTCGAAACATCTGTAATCATTGTAATTTTTTTAACTTTTCAAATCTTACAACTTGAGAGAAATTCATCGAATTTATTTAAAAATACAAAATTAGTGTATATTGAGTTAAAGCCTAAATTTACCAATCGTTTGTGAAAATAAAATAGATATCCATGAATTATTAGAATAATTTATACTATCATAAAAACTACTTTCTTGCACATTATCTGTTATTATATTGCAATAACAATTTAACACTTCTTTATCGACAATACTTAAATTATTTTTTGTAAATGTATGTGTGTGTGTGTGTGTGTGTGTGTGTGTGTGTGTGTGTGTGTGTGTGTGTGTGTTTAAATTAATAACAGTTTATTTGGAACAATATTTTAATATAATATGGAAAAGTGATAGGTTGGCAAAGATCATTTTTAATGGCGAATAAATTTTATTAACAGGTAAAATAAATGTTTACATACGATAGATCAAATTTATAATATTTTAACATTAGAATGAAATATAATAATATATAAAACGCTGAGAGCGACGTATTTAATTTAATATACATAGATGCAGCTGCAATTCTATTAATCTTTAATTCAACAAACTACCGTAATTACACAAATTTGCTAAACAAAGCAATTTAGCTATACTCATGAATGATTAGCTTTACAAATTGTCATAGAAAATAATTAAAATCGAGTAAACTTTGTCATTCCTATACAGATGAGTTCCAGGGGCATATCACACACGAACGCCCATCGCCAATCATTCACAAACAACATCTGATATGCACCTCGGGTGCGACAGAGGCAGTGGCGAAGGCGGCATCGCGCTTTGGTCCCGTCCACGTGTCCTCCATCCAGGGCCGACCGGTAATCACGATTTCCGGGCCCCCTAGTGGACACTATGCCGTCACCGGACACACGGGACCAGGCACAGTAGCCACCGCCAGCGCAAGCGCATCCTCCGTTTCTTCATCCTCTTACCACAACAAAGACTGGGATGCCAAGAGCTTCTGGTACCCGAAGCCAATCGCCAAATCCTGCTGTTAATTCATTGGTCGCGAGTTCACGCACTTGCGATGTGGGAGGGAGGAGGCCAATTGCATCGACATAATAATGATGAAAGACTCGCGAAAGGCATGCATGATTCAGCAGAATGTAATTCTTTGCTTACGTCGTGTCCGCGCATGGATCGCGCAAATGCGATTAATCACAATTTGCGTCGGACAGTGCTCGATCGTTTTTGTTTTTTCGAAATCACGTTTGTATAATTGAATAGTCTTCGAAAGAATGGGCCTCGGCTGGATCTGATACACTAAGCTCATATTTTGTAAACAGAATAATAAACGTAAAATTCCAAAAATTATCGATTAAAACTTTTGATATTACCCTTCTCTGTAATAATAGCGATATTCGCCTAATAAGCATAGAAATTTTTTTTATTCTACAATAGTCAATGCATAGATTATTATCGTTTCAGCAGTTATGCGCGTAAATTATTTCCGGAATTCATCCGGGGAGCTACAACAGTGAATCCGAACCAATTTAGATAGCACGGTAAACTTGCTATTTGATCGGGCGAAAAAAGCAAATGCTATGTACGTCTGGGAATAACGGCTTGATAAATTTAATAAAATTCATGATTCCTCGCTCGGCCCTCGAATGCCATGAAAATTTAAAGTCGTCCTGCCAGCATAATCACCTTGTCAGGCGCTTGTTTTTTAACTAACACACGTGCGACCAACGAAAATTTCGATATCTCTCATAATGCAGCACCTTTTTACCAACTCGCACGTTCGGAAAAGTTTATTCGACGCAACGCCCCACTGCCGCTTTACCCGCCACCCCAATATTTATTTGTCTCGCAAATGCAGCAACTGTCGCATCCCGAGTCCATGCTTCCCAAACTTTCCCTTCTCCGAAACTTCACTTTACAGTACGCGTCACTTAAAGTGCGGGAGGCGTTGGGAGCGGCCCACGAATTATGAAAGGGGCCGCGACGTACGAGTCTCGAAATAATATTATCATAGATAATGAGAAAGTTTTAACTGAAAATTTGTGATAGTGCAACAGGCCCCGTATAAATGTCTCCACTTTTTCCTTGAAACTCGACTTCAAATAAAACGGCCAACGCGTTCTCCCTTATTATCCGCTTAACCATGTATCTCTATTAATTGCATCTATCGTTGTATGGGCGAATATAGCATACTTGAGATTAATTTTATGATTGTAATATAAATAATCGCTGCATGAAAAGAAGCCTGTAAATACCTACCATTTACAAGTTATCGTCAATAAATCATTTTTGAAGATATTATCTCAGGCCAAATGAATAATATAATTTATTATTTCTGTACCAAAAATTGCGCTCGCTACTCTATGCAATCGCAGCAACCAATCTTTGCATATTTATAAATAGAAATATTTTTATAACGCATTACCTATTAGTAGATGTGAGCAGTTTACGGCCATTCATGCATCGATATATGTGTGCATGTATGCTCGTGAACATATGCTTTCACTGTACGTGCACAGGTAGTGAACGGCATAATTCAACTGTTTTATCTTTTTAATTCAGCTGAATTCAATATAATTGAATAAAAATTCTTAATTCCATATTATTACAATTTAAAGATAATTACTATGTCGAGAATTATATAATATACTTTTATAATTGCATACGTAAAGTCTCGGGAAATGTTATTTAAATTCCGTTGATAAGAACTTTCTGTAAATAAATTATTACGATAAGCATATATTTTATGTTTTAAAGACTTCCGATTTTCGAATTAAATGATAATTATATTCATTGCTGCACATATTAATAAATTCCCGTCCCATACTCAATGTTACAATTTGCCTAGACCTATTTTTCTCCAGAGATTTGTTTTGTTAATCTGATAAAAATGTGACAAAAGTTGATAGGAAAATTAATTTAATGTTATAAGAAAACAAAATTAAAACTAGACTATTATGCAGCAAGCTGGAACTTGAAAAATTCAAGTATTATAGTACATGTGAAAATTTATTAAATATAATGAAATTTTATCAAGAATCAACGTGTAATCCCATTTAGGCAAAAGTAAAAAAAAAAAATAAAATAAATAAAAAAAAATTAAATTAAAATAGGAACTGAATATTTTAAAATATTTTGTAACATTATTTAAGTATATATTTTTTTAACAAAGTTATGCTAAAGTATTTATTATTTAGCGTTTGACCAAACCACAGATATATTTGAAAATATTATTAAATTAATATATGCAAAGTTTGTTTTTCAAGAATTTAATAAAGATCAATAGAGTTCAATTTAAATAAAGAAATGTCAACGTTAAAATTATTCGGAAAATATATGACTAATAGTGTTTTATTGTAAATTTTTACAATACTATTATATATACATTATGAGAAAATAAAAATGCAAATTTAAACTTGAAAACAAGTTATGGAAAGGAAGGGCCTCTTCATAAACAAGGAACTTATATCACAACTCCTTGACATATTAGGAAAATTTTATTTGCCGCTCGCGCTATTTTTCGCAAGGACCTCTTGAGTATTTGTCACCACATCATTGATTCCTTTCTTTAAGACCTCTAAAGTTGGATTCAATAATTCGATAATATTGTGTAATACAGCCTTTGGGTCCACCAGTGTATGCTGAATTTGCAACAAATGTTGTAGTTCTTCTGACGATTGTTGCGACTGTGGCTGTTGTGACGATTGTTGCGACTGCGACTGTTGTGACGATTGTTGCGACTGCGGCGTTTGTGACGATTGTTGTAACTGTGACTGTTGCGAGGACTGTTGTAATCGCGATTGCTGTGCTATTTGTTGGGATCGTTGTTTCAATGCCTGAAGAAGTTGCTGCAGCGCAACCAAATATGTAGACGATTGTTGTTGTTGTTGTTGCAATTGCTGTTGCTGCTGTAACTGCTGCTGCTCCAACTGTTGTTGACGTAGCTGCTGCTGCTGCATTTGCTGCTGTTCCAACTGTTCTTGGCGTAGCTGCTGTTGCTGCAACTGCTGCTGTTCCAACTGTTGTTGACGTAGCTGCTGCTGCAACTGTTGTTGTTGTAGCTGCTGCTGCTGTAATTGTTGTTGGCGTAGCTGTTGCTGCTGTAACTGTTGTTGCTGTAGCTGTTGCCGCTGTAACTGTTGCTGATATAGCTGTTTCAGTTGTTGTAGCGATGGACGTAGCTGTGGATATTTCTGACGCTGCTGGAGTGTTTGTTGTTGCGCCTGCATTGGAAATCCTAATTGCTCATATCCTTGATACTGCGGCTGCTGTGAAAACTGTAGCACTGATGTTGGATCTAATAGTGGGTATCGTTGCTGCTGTTGCTGTTGCGAATATAACGAATACGGTGACTGTGGTGATGGTAAACCTGGTTGTTGAGGAGATTGCAACTGCAGTTGCAGTAGACCAGCTTGTGAGTAATGTTGCTCTTGTGGCTGTGGCGGCACAGCTGGTTGTGAATGCTGTTGTTGCTGTTGTGACGGTAGACCTACTTGTGGATACTGCTGCTGTGGTAGCTGTGGCGGCACAGCTGGTTCCGAATGCTGTTGATGCTGTTGTGGCGGTGATCCTGCTTGTGGGTACCGCTGCTGTTGTAGCTGTGACGGTAGACCTGGTTGTGCCTGTTGCGGTTGCTGTTGTGGCGGTATGCCCACTTGGGGATACTGCTGCTGTGGTAGCTGTGGCGGCACAGCTGGTTGTGAATGCTGTTGTTGCTGTTGTGACGGTAGACCTACTTGTGGATACTGCTGCTGTGGTAGCTGTGGCGGCACAGCTGGTTGTGAATGCTGTTGTTGCTGTTGTGGCGGTGATCCTGCTTGTTGGTACCGCTGCTGTTGTAGCTGTGACGGTAGACCTGGTTGCGCTTGTTGCGGTTGCTGACGTGGCAGTAGGCCTGCTTGTGGGTGTTGTAGCTGTTGTGGCTGCTGTTGTTGTTGTGACTGTGGCGGTAAACCTAGTTGTGACTGCTGTGGCTGTGGCGGTAAACCTAGTTGTGACTGCTGTGGCTGTGTCGGTAATCCTGCTTGTCGGTCCTGTTGCTGTTGTGACTGTGGCGGTAGACCTGCTTGTGGGTCCTGTTGCTGTTGTGACTTTGGCGGTAAACCTGGTTGTGACTGTTGCCGTTGTTGCGGGTATGGCGAGGGCTGCTGTTGAGATTGCGTTTCAAGTCCTAATTGTGGATAATTTTGCGAAAGAGATTGTCTAGTTGGATCAGAATACTGTTGTTGCTGTTGAAGTTGTGATGGGGGCCCTGCTGGTGGATATTGTTGTTGCGAAGGTTGTTGTTGATTTTGAGGCAGTTGGGACAAACCCGATCGTGACTGTTGGTTTGGTTGTGAATGTTGTTGTTGCTGATGTGTTAATTGTTGTTGAGATTGTGACGACAGAGTTAGTTGTGAGTTTTGTTGTTGTTGCAAATTTTGTGGAAGCTGAGGCTGGTTTGGTAAATCTAATTGTGAATGGTATTGCAATTGTGACGATCCAGCTGATTGTAAATTTTGTTGTTGATTTTGAGGTAGATGTTGCTGCGACTGTGGTGGTAAAGCTCCTTGTGACTGTTGATGTTGTTGTTGCGATAGGGATTGTTGAGATTTCGGCGGAGGCCTTGATTGTGGGTATTGTTGCTGCTGCGCTTGTTCTGAAAGCTGAGACTGGTATGATAAACCTAACTGTGATTGCGGCAGTTCAGCTGATGGCAAATTTTGTTGTTGCTGTGATGAAAAACTTGATTGCTGATAATATTGCTGCTGTGGCGATACTGATAGTTGTGAATTCTGTTGTTGCTGCAACTGCAGTTGTCCCTGAAATTGGCTGGATTTTAAGCCATCCGCTCGATGGGCTTCGATTACCTTAAAAAATAAAGCATTTAATATTTTATTGTATGTATAATTAATAAATATCGCTAAGTTACTTAAACTAAAAATGTCACACTAATGTAAACAATTTATGGAAAAAATTTTAATTCAATGTGACCAGTGGAACGAGTACCCACTTTGATATATCTTAGCAACATTTTAAACCTCTGTTATTCTGAAGAAGCAAAAGTTTTAAAATAATCTTGATTACATGTAATATGCCTATTACAAATCTAAGAACTTTACTATGTGACAACAGTAGCTCGGGACTTCAACAACACCTTACTTCGAAAATATTGAACGTGACGAAGTCAACTATTCATTGCAGAACGACCTTTTAAGTACTATACTTTACATATACACTGTCGTGTTTCATTTCACTAATAATAATTGCAATATTTTTTGCCAATTTGAAAAACTAAGTAATATCTAATTATTTCTAAAAGAACTTGTGAATCAAATATTAGTATACTATACGTATATGAATTTAACAAATATAATATGTTTTAATTAAGGATTTAATTTAAATTCCATTTTATAATTATACCTATAATTGAATCAAATATAGATATTTTATGAAATTCTTCCATATATTACATGATTACATTATAGTTCGATTAAATGAAAAATAATTAAAATAAAATAAAAACTCCAAATATGCTTTTATAAAATTATTAAAAATTATCAAAAAAGTATTGATTTATTTTTAATAAATATTTAATGAAGAATTTGAAGATCTTATTTATGTAATTCTTTCTAATCCGTGTGAATTCAAACATTCTAATTGAGATGTATAACAAATTGTATAATTTGAAATTAACAATGCAATTTTTAGAGATGATTATTTAATCGTGTTATTATAATGCTATTAAAAGATTATTTATTATTACTATCTTGTACTTTAAAATGATTTCATTCACTTATAGAAAAAAATAATGGAAAGAAAACAAACGTAATAAAGTAGAGTGAAAAGAATTATAATGGTGAGTTTTTACACGACTCCGGGGATCTCGCGTTTATCTTGATGGAAATATCGGCCATTGAAACGGATGAATGAAACGATTGAACGGGCACAAAGACGCGCATTGATTGAAGGAAATATTTTTCAGACAGGCAGAAGAAGCGAAAATAGCAGTAAATGGGCAACGCTGATCATTAACGAAAGCGTAAGAAAAGGAAAAACAGTTCTTCTCAAATCGATCTATCCAGCAGCTTACGGAGAGAAATCTTTCGAAAAAGGAAATAGTATAAATAAAGATGAGCGGGGCTATTCTTTATATAAATTAGAATTGGTCGCACCTATTTTAATGGTGCATTTGACAATGAAAAAGTGTATCGTCGTTAAGAGCATTTCAATATGCGTATGTGCATAATTGTTAATTAATGTTTAAAAAATTTGAATTTCCAAAACCCTTTGCTTTATAGATATTTGAAAAGAAGTTACTTACAGAAATTATGAGAAGGACCACAAAAGCCACACTTTTTATCAAAGCCATTATTATTTAGACTTTTACTCCTCGCGTATATACTTTAGAGCTTCGCAGGGAAAACTTCCAATGACAAAATTCATTTACTGAGCTATTTAATATATACTGTCTTCGAGAAATCTAAAATTAAAAAGGCAGATCTCGATATATTATGGACGTGCGTTACTCTTAAATAAAAGACATACTCATAGCAATATCTCTGTTGTCAATTTTAATTGTCTCACGTACCTCTACATATTGTTTAAAATATTCTTTGCAATAAACAGTACGTGAATTTCATCGTTTTTATCAAAACAGTTTTATAAATAAACTTTATTACTCAAATCATATAGAAGTACAAAAATAGTTGATAAAATATATCCTTTAGCTATTAAGTGAAATAATAATAATTTACGTATACGCTGTAGAATATATGTTTTTATGTCAATTATCCGATCGATTATCAGTATACTTTTAGATAAAAATATATTATTCGTATGTAAAGTTCAATGTATACAAATTTTTATTTATATATGTAGATTCAAATTAAATCTTTTTTGTTTTATTTTTAATTATACAATTGGTCATCAAAATATTAATTAATTTATTAAAGTTTTCTTTTCCTTACGCTATTATTATAAATACATGTACGTATTACATATAACAACAAATTGATGTTATTTTTATTTTTTAGAAAGAAATTAATTTAATAAATATATTTATCGTTGATTTACTTCATTACAGTATACACTTTTATTTTTGTAAACAATTCAAATCCTTTTTTAATCGTATTCAAGACAATGTAAATTAATTCTGTTATTGAATACTGATGTAATTAATTATTATCACCGCTATGTTATCTTATGTTTAACCCTTGTTTGGAATTCAATTCCATATGCTGCAGTTTAAAAACGTAACTGTAATCTAAATGAAAATTATCTGCATACACACCAAATATTTAGGTATTAATTTATATCGAATTATGATAACGATAATTTTTACTTTGATAATTACACTTTTTAAGAATAAACAATATTTTGAAAATATAATCATGTTGTCAGACATATCGTAATCAATTGTATGCAAAAGTAAGAGTAAATTGACAGATAATCATTTACGACGGTAAAAATATTTACTACAAGATCTTTTAATTACATGCCTTACCGAAGTTTTCAGAATTATATTTTCTGAATTATGTATGCTCTTGTTTAGTATAACAATAAACATACAAAGGCCCGCTTATTAACTAACGTTGGAAATTGTGTTTTCTAATTCACCTCAAGATTGAATTATATAATTATTAATTTCATTCTTATCCGCACGTAAAAATAAAATAAAAATTTCTCCTAAGATTATTGCTTCGAGAAAAAGTTTAGAATTTTGTAATTATTTTACCCACATAGAGTGGCATAGTCCGGCGCACGCGCAATCGAAATTACTTTTCGCGCTAATTAAGGATGTGCAAGAAATTCGCTCAATTTTTATGAGAAATAGGATTAAAGGCAGCAGCTCCTCCATCACATTTCCGCGTTCCATTTTCTCCTCGTCAGCAATTGTGGCGCCGTGTTTCTTAAAAAATGTATGCGCATACAGTCGCGCGCACCGCCACATATAAACACGCACGCCATGTCTTTTCTACCGAGTCGTTAAAGTTGTAAATCAAAAATAACGAGACGGTGCTGCGCACATCTTCCTGCCTCTCGTTCCATCGTAATACCAGCATTATCGAGAGGCAGCATTGAAGCAAGGAAGCCGTGGATTCCTCGTTAAACGTCACAGAGAGCACTCGATGCGCACGGGACTGAAATGGCCGTCGAAGGGTAAGAGCCGAAACGAAGAAGTGAAACATCAAAAAGACAAAGGAATTCGTCTGAGAGTTAAGTAACTCGATTGGTGTGTATGTGGGGTTGTTACAAGGAAATCTGAAGCTATGAATATTTTGGCACGATTATATGCACCGTATTAATTAAGCGATTTTTAAATGACAGATGACGGTAATCAATAAGACGTTGGATTACTCCAATCGTATACCGTATATACAATCAATAGCTATCCACTAATTCTTATTTCTACCTCCCGTCTTAACGTATCCTTCCTTATGTTAATATCAACCGTATGAATTTCTGCCAATAGAACGCTAAGGAAAATTTTGTTAATCTCGAAGATTTGTTAATATCGAGCAGTATTTCGCACCGAAGCAGCCAACTGCACTCTAAAATAAAGAGAGGCGCGCGATAGAGAAGCTAGATAAAAAGAAGAGAAAAGGATAAGAAGAGGTAGGGGAGGGGAAAAAAAAATAAACGAGGGGCGTCGAACAGGTTTCGATAAATCAATAGGCTTTAATCGGGTCTCGGCTAATGCAACGGAAACAGAGAGGCAAACGAAAAGCAATCGCAATTATCTATTTGTGGCATGTCCGAGCCGCGAGACGCAATTGGTCGTGTACAATGATTTTTGTCAGCTTCGAGGGACATTGAGAAATTGATTTGTCTTCCATTGACCCAAGGCGACAAAAGCTTTTAACATATTGCGGGACTATTGCGAGCCCTTCAAGTACATTGCGCGCCCTCGACTCACAACTCGAAAGTACAACAGCTTTCGAGCATCGATTCAACGTTTTACCGAGACAAGACATCGTTGCAATACATTGATTATTATACGCTTCTATGAGCCGACGGGGCTGCGAGTGTTGCCATGCCTATTGATATTCAAGAATTTTAATTATAAATGTTCGAACATTCTATTCCAATCGATCGATAAGCGCTGTTTCTTTATTTATGTAACAACTATAGTTCCGCCCCAAATTAAGTAACATCAATCCTAATGAAAGTGAAAGGAAGAATGTTTAATTAAATAAAGCCACACGAGCCATTTCGGTCTGCTTGCGTTCCAGTGGGCGCGCGCATTTTATTTACTTATTTTTTTCTCTCCTTTTTTTATTCCCAATGTTATTTCCCAAGGTAGCCCGTAAGTGAATTGTAATTGTCCGGAAGCAAGCATACGACACCTTAAGAACTTTACCTGTACGCACTTATGTAAGAAATGATGCATTCTGTCCAGGCTTTGCTAATTCAAATAAATAACGAGGCGACCAGCATGATATACCGCTATAGTGTCCGAAATCAAAATATTAGCGAACAATGTCCAAATAAACGCACTTTAGCAATAATGAATGGGCGCAACCTATGGATAACCGCGGCCTGCATTGCAACACGTCCACTCGTACAAAGTCCCGGATGCATATTATAACGAAATTAAATTAACACACTGTTCCATGCAGATTAGATTTTCTTTTGAAAGGTTATTTATTGGCGCTTGTTCGGCTGCCGGAGGCGAGTGCATAATGGAGAAAGGTTGAGGAGAAGCGATATGGCGAGGTGCGTGAGCGCGAATCGGTCGCATGCGCGACATTCTCGTGAAATATCACGGCCAAGTACGTGCAACTGGATCTTCATTGTGTAAAAGAAATGTCGGCGCACAATGAGCCGCTTTATCTCGCCCGATACGCGCCTCTATACTTGTATCCATTGTAACATATATCAATGCGATCGATCATTTCTACGGGGCATTTCGCGATTGTCGCGTTTTAGGCGGAGATAATTCGCCTGTTATTTCAACACGAGCTGCAATTGTCGCTTAGGCGTCTACTGACTGATGACAAGAGGTAAAAATGTATATGCGGTATTTGCTTC